GCAGCCTAACTAAATTTGGAAGTAGATTTTTTGTCAGCTGATTGGGTACGACATGAATTGGAAGCCGGTCAACCAATCATGAAGGTGATAAGTTTTTGTAACCAGGCGAGGTTGAACCCTAGACCTTCTCCTAGTGACCTATGGAGCATTACCACTGTGCTATAGACCCATAGGTCTAGATATAAATAAATTCTCTCCAGAACAAAATACAATTGTTGTTTTTGAGGATCTATGTGCTAAACCAAAGAAAGTGCAAGAACAAATTATTCCTTACTTTATTAGTAGCTGGCATCAAAATGTCTTACCTATATATGTAAGTCAGAAATATACATAAACACCTAAAATATTTCGTGAAAATATTTCATACTTATGCTTATTCTGGGGTTTGAGTAGTAGAAATGATATTAGTAGAATTGTACATCAATACACAGATGATCCAAAAAAAGCATCTAAAATAATTGATAAACATTTATAGAATTGAAATTTTGTAGTCTTTGATTTTACTAAGGCTATCGATAATCCTTTAGCAGTTAGACTCGATTGGGACCAGCCTCTTAATCTTTCTAATGAGTAGGCTTGAAGATCAAAGCTCGAATCTCGATTCATCGTTTAACAGTCTGCTTTGCAATAGAGCATGATTTACAATGATGAGATAGAAATTATTTTTTTTTGTTATTTATTAATACAACAATATAAATGTCACTTTTTATATAATTTGGAAAGATGCACGTATCCAGCTTGTGATTTTATATTAAAAATATATCTTATATATAAAAAATAACAATCTATTGTAATGAAAAAATTATTTTTAAGTGATACTCAAATAACTGCTAAAAAACGTAATGGAAGATGTCTTTCCACTCAGTATATTAATGCCAAAAGCCCTTAGAATAAAAATACAAAGAAGTGCATATTTGGTTAACATCTCTTCACCGTATAAAAAATCGTGATACATGGTATCAATATTGTGCTGATAACCGCAACCATCTTAATCTCGAAGTTGCAATATAAATTGGGAATAGTAAAGGAGATAAATGTCTTTCCATCCAATATATTAATAATAAAATTTCATTAAAATGGCAATGTAATAAATTGCATATATGATATGCATTTCTTAGTAGTATAAAAAATCATAATACATGGTGTCATCAATATGTAAAATATGGATTTAAATTAAATCTTGAAGAGATGCAGAAAATTGCACAATTATACAGTGGCTCGTGCCTTTCTAAAAAATATACCAAATCCAAAGATCAATATTATTAGAAATGTAGCAAGAGTCATATTTGGTATACATCTTTTAGTAGTATTAGAAATAAAAATAGTTGGTATTCATTTTGCTCAAAATTCAAACGTAAAGAATTATATTGAGAAATTGTATCAAAATATCTTGGACCACCATCTAAGATATGTTGACCTGATTTTCTTAAAGTATCAAAATATTCTATAGGTTTAGAACTTGATATTTATTACTTGGAATATGGTTTTGCAATTGAAGTATACTCATCGGAAAAAAATTACCAGAATTTCAAAATTAGGTATGATCGACCGTAGCGACTTGATGTTTACAATTTTTTTTTTTGTAAATATAAGTTTGCGCCGATTCTTATAATTTTTTATCCACGGTTTCTCTTGATCCTCTGCTATCCGAATATATATAAATTTATTTTTTTTGTTGTGATTTTTTATAATAACAAAAAAAAGAAAAGAACTTACCAAACAACAGTGCAACCAAATAATTGGAGCTTGGAAGTGTAGTATAAAACCATCAGCTATTATAAAAACCCTGGAACTTTCTCAGAGCACCGTTTATGATGTTGTTACACTATACAAAAAAACAGGTCAAGAAAAACCTCTTCCTCATCCAGGAAGACCACCGAAATTAACCAAACATGATATTCATCACCTTGTCTATCTTTTAAAACAAGATAAAAAGTTAATGCTACATGTCTTAACCAATAAATTTATTGAATCAACTTCTATTAAAGTTTGTACATGTACCATATGACACTATCTTCATGAAGAAGGTTATTTTAACCATGTTGGCAAGAGAAAACCCTTTGTAAATAAAGAAAAAAGTAAGATTAGATTAGAATGGGTAAAGAAACAAATGTGTTGGGAAAAAGAATGGAAAACTATAATTTGGAGTGATGAATCTCAGTTCGAAGTATATGGAGGAGATGATCATAGTTATGTTTGGCGAAAGCCTAAAGAGAAATTTGATGTTGAATGTTTAATTCCAACTTTTAGATTAGGCAGAATGGGTGTAATGGTTTGGGGATGTTTCTATTATTATGGTCTAGGTCCCTTGGTTCGAGTTTTTGGCAATATGACTGTGAAAGATTATATTGATATCTTACAAAATTGTTATTTACCATATTTAGAGAATTTAAATAGTATAGTTGGAGAAAAAATTACACATTTCAAGATGATAATGCAAGAATTCATACAGCAAGATTAACTATGCGATGGTTTGAAGAAAATGAGATTAATAAGCTTTCTTGACCTTCAACAAGTCCTGATCTTAATCCCATAGAGCATTTATGGGATGAATTAGAACGTCGTATATGCAGTCACATTCCTTTACCAACCAATGAGTCAGAATTGTTTGATTTATTATAAAAAGAATGGTTCAATTTAGACGGCTCAGTTTATGTGAATCTTGTTAGAAGTATGAATCGACGTGTTAAAGCTGTGAAAGAAGCTCAAGGAGGCCCTACACGGTATTAACTATTGTAAATAATTAAATAAAAAAATTTAGACTCAAATTATTAAGTAAATTATTAAAAAAATCGTTTATTAAAAATTTATAAAAAAAATGATCGTCGCAATATTAATAATAAATTCCGATGATTTTTTTCCGGGGAGTGTACAAGGAGAGCAACACGAAAAATATATCGAATTCTTCCATAGAGGAGATCCTAATAATTTTATTAGACAGCAAGAGCGGGATCAACTCAAGAATGAATTATGTGAAGAAAATTGGATCGTTTTAAGATATGTTTGGTACTATGAAGACCCATATGTGGTTATTCCAGGGCATCTTAGTGAATTGGGTCTCATTGAGTAAACTCGAAACTTTAAATGCTTTATGATCATTACGTGTATTGTTTATGTAATAGGTTTTATTGTTTTAACATTCATTCATGTGAGTTGCTTTTCTTTTGTAGCGGGTGTATTATTTTTTTCGTATAATTATAAAATCTAAGTATTTATCCCGACCTTGTTTTGTTAGATACATAAAAAAAAAATTCTTATAATCGTTATAGTTTTATTTTTCAGTACACACTATATAAACATGTAAAAGAGATTATATTATCATCACGTTACATTTGATTATTCATTGATTTGTCGAAGCAGTAAATAAATCCTCATTTCGTAAAATTAAATCGCAGAATTATTGTTCAAAGTATCTTGTACACTTTTTAGCCACTGGCGAACTGTGATAGACTTAACCTCAATTATACCGCGATGCTCACTGGCCATCACGTTAATTACTTTCTCCTGATCGCGAAGATTTTTCTAAGCAAATAATACATGTGTAAATATTTTTCTGTCATTATTATTGTGGTCATTTATAAATATTATAGATGCTTACCATAAAATAAGCAATTAACTCAAATATATGCATGTATTCTGCCACCGAGTTCCACGAAAATGGCCACCGTGCACTTCGTACTTCTACAGCTTTAAAGCCAGATTCATGCACAGAAATTTCGACTAGGACAATCCGGTCAACTGCAAAGAAAAGAAATAAATGACATTAATGGCGTTATAGGCGAATCCTATCTCTCTAAAGTTATTGAAACATACCTATTACCTGCATTGTATAAAATTTTGGTTTTTTAGCCGCGTCAAGAGACGCATCAAGATATTGTTGTAGTGTACCTTGAAGCATCTCACATCCTTCCAGCAATGTCTTCTTGGTATCTCCCAGTGTATGGGGACGATCCTGCTCAATTGGTCCGCCAGATACCTCGATTGTCGCAAACTCTCTACGATTCTCCTTAACAATAGCCAATGCATCTACTTTGTAAGTCGTCATTTTCTTGTCCGGATCTTCGACAAATTGCAATGCCTTAGTCATCATCATATTTTTCTCCACCCTAGACAAATTTGAAAATAAATATAACAAGAAAAAAAACTCCAGTCTAAGAGACTAAGACATACCAGTTAAATGTTACCAGCTCAAATACATATTCGATATACTTGAATGGAATAGAAACCTGTTCTAATATAAATTTTCTTTCGGATGCGTGCCTTTCAATAGTGTGACTCTTTGCACGGCGGATCATGGTATGACTTTGAATGGTTATATCGCGTCAGTTTTTTCTTTTTCAACCGCATTAATAGTTGTTAAATACTTACAAGTCGATTAATGTACCCCGAAAGACAATACGCAAGTCATTTTCATACTCATTAGCATCCTTTAATTGCATATTCACCTTCTCATCAAACTCGTCTACAGTACTCTACAAAGAATTATCAGTTTAAGTTCATAACTTCAAAATATCATTGCATTACAATACTCACAGCAAGAACAAAACGTAGCCATGTGACTAGTGATGCCGGCAAGCTGACTAGTTTGACTTGGTCACACGAATGACCCTTTATTTCTTTGGCAATGTCTTCGTGTTGAACTTCAAGGTTTGATATAAGCGATTTCAACCCTGGTACTAATGTTGGCGCAAGACTGCAACCAAAGAGAAAAAGCAATTAATGATATTGCATAATTTTGACTCTCCTGCGTTGCCTGTAGTAGTCCATGTAACTTATTTTGCAGTAAAATAATTTCGTATGTAAGCTCAATTATAAAATGTCAATAAAATTTCTCATGCGTACCTGAAGATCTGTTAATTTCTTCTCTTTTAGCTCGACTTCAACGGATACCCACATCTTATCTAAAGGTCCTCCTTTTCGACGTGCTCGCTATGTAATTGTTAGTTTTTATAGATAAAGTGCTACAACCAGCCACGACAATCAACAGATCATAAGCGGTTCATCAGCAGAATTCCCGCGTAGTCGCAGTTGCTAATACAATTAAAGTACCCTTATTGCTAAAAGATAGCCGTCCACAACGATCAACAGATCATAAACGGTACATCAGCAGAATTCCCGCGTAGTTGTAGAGAGCCAAACCAACTAAACCGTTGATATGACCACGGCCTAAGAGAACTTCTATCCAGTTGCAACATCACATATGTACAAGAAAAATCTACACTCACTTTAGCTTTTTCCTGAAGATTTAATGCCTGCCTTATCATATCAGCATTGGCTGATGTGCTCACAATATCTCGCAAACTCCTGGTGAGTTTGTCTGCGGCCGTCTTGTAATCGAGCTTCTCCGGTCTATCTTTGTTTTTTTCTATAAAAAAACGGTGGAACCCGACGATATCCCACTCCATAGGGTTTTTCAAATCAAAGTACTTGTCAGTCATCTGATTATTTTCCTGCAGGTCATGCAAAATAAAGGTGAATATCTCCATTATCTGCGACGTCACCATACACAATAGTTTTACCTGAGTTCTTGTGACGAGGAAAGGGTTGTTTTCTCCATCTTCCACTGGTTCATCCATTTCAAAGTTAAAGTTATTCTGCAAAAGGATCTTTTGTCACATGCGAGTGGTATTACAGAAATTTGTATTACAGAAATTTATGTACTACAAAAATTTATGTAGTACGTAGCGCGTAGCCCGATCTTGAAAAAAAGTACCCCAACTCAGTGATGTGCAATTTATGCTTCCAATAGCAAAAAATTTGATTGGAAGCTTCCAATTCCAATGAATTTATTAGTATATTGTGCTTCCAATCTTCCAAGTGCACATCACTGCCCCAACTAATGAGAAGAATCTGACTTCATAGATGCCAGCTCTTTTTCCGCTATATGTACCTGCATCTTCAGATCCTTGATCTCATTGCGCAATTTATTATTTGCACTAATCCGCTCCCTATATTCTTTTTCTACGTCTTGCATGAAGATGTCTCTAAATTATTCGTCGATATACTGATGATGTAAAAAATGCATCAATGGTTATTAATAGTTACCTTCGAAAAAATAAATTTATTGTATTCGATCTTACTAGGTCGGAGGATGATCCTCTAGCAATTCGGTTAAGGTTTGATACTCCACTAGATTTGCGTCAAAAGAAAAAATAAAAAGTAAACCAGCTGATACATAGGAAAAAGGTATAGCGGAGCTAGTGTCTCTGTCACATAAAAATTCATGTGATGGAACAGAGCACTTACGTGCTTGGAATATATATCATACGTTTTATTTCAAAGAAATGGCTTTTCGAGCCTAAACCCGCTCATCATTGCATCATCAGGAAATTTTTTTGGTGAAGATCTTTGAAGATCTCCACCCAAAAAAAATTTTCGAAAATTTTCAGAGAAATCTTTGAAAATCTTCAAAGATTTTTAAGAATTTTTGATATAGAATTTTTTAAAATAAAAAAACTCTGGAAATTTTTATTTCAAAAAAATTTAAATTTTTTCAAAGTAATAATCATTATTTTAAAATAAATAATTATTTAATAAATATTCATTACTTTTACCAAATCTTGGAATTA